AAAACTTCAAGATAAAGAAAACTGCTTTTTCGGAAAATCATTTTTTTAGGAAAATGTTTTCACCTTTTCAAGTTAAGGAATTTATTTTCCCTAACTTTAAGCATGTGTATTTTCTTTGACCAAAAATAATTTTCCGTTTACTGATCAATTTCAGCAAACAAAACGAGTGAAAGTCCAAAAAATTAATTCGCAGAAAATGATTTCACTCAAACACACACACCCTAAGGGTGCGTTTTGTTGAACTGAAAATTTCATGATAAAGAAAAATATTTTCATAGAAATCATTTTCAAGAAAAATGGTTAGTTTTCATTCATTTGGCGGTTTAGGAAAAGTGATTTCTTTCTTACCAAAAGAAGAAGTCATTTTTCTCCAATCTAAGCTTGTTGTTTTCGGTCTATGGATAAGTTTTTCGCAAATTGGTTAGTTTTCCATCGTGCAAACACCGGAAAGTTGGAAAACAATTCCCCGAATATAGTTTTCCTTCAAACATACAGACTCTAAAACCGACTACGCAACCATCTGTCCTAGAACTTTAGGCAACGGTGGCTTTGTTATTCAAGGCGTTCATGCACAACTTGCGTGATTTATGGTGTATCTTGGCACTAGAACGTGTTTAAGTATACCGAAGTTTCACAAACTTATTGATAAATTTGAACAATCTTCCGTGAGGATGGTCGTTTCTCCAATTTGTATTGCAAAAGAAAAAGCAAGCACGCTGCCGACTGTTCTAAAAGTTTAAGTTATTATATCTTTTTGCCTAGTACTAAGCGCGGACATATTTAATTGAGAACGCAAATAGGTCTGGAAAGATTTAAACTCAGAACTTTCTAACCAAGTAAGATTTTGTGGGACCACTACCGATTATTCTAAAAACTTAATCTACTGAATGAATGTGTAATTTAATATTTAAATATCCTATCAAGCATCAAGAGATCTCACCATGGTCGTAGATTCCTCTATCTCTTCCCTATCTTATAATTTCCGATCTTACAATTGAATCAATCAATACATTCATAATGACAACTTTAGGGAGACATGCCATGCATATCGGACACCTATTACTATTAGTCTTGGGTGGACCCCTATTTCCGTACCTGGCGATATCACTTCGTCAAACGGAAATTATTTTCGGTAGAGGATTAGGTAGACTTCATTTCGCTGAGGGAGACTAGAGAAGGAGTAATTTCTGCGCTCAAGGACAAAAGTCTGTCCATTAAAGTTGCAGGCCACTTATCCAATGAAGGATATATGACGTAAGTTTGGTGCAAAATTTATGTATAGTCATCAAAGTAGTTCAGCCTCACTAAATGAAGACTAGAATTGTGAAATAAAGATCTCACCTCTTTTGTTCGATACCATAAGTGTCCCAGACTCGCTACGGAATGTTCATATTGAGTCATACATACTCTACACCACTTGAGAATCGAAGGTTCGAGGTTGGCGAATCCATCGCCGCAACCTCACTAAAATGTTAGTAGTTAGGAAGTCTATCCACACGAGATATACCCTAGCTATCCCGTTCAAAGGTCTATTCACATAGTGAATCAAACCCATAACCTTATGAAAGATTGATAACTCATTGAACACTAGCTAAACCAATCACCACAACCGTAAAGATCCAAACAATTACATACAAGAGGTTGCTTGTTGTTCGAGTCATGCAATTTTGGGGGTTTCGATTTGGAAGGTTTTGCTAGGATAACCGAAGTTGCATACCCAGCAATAGCTACTATTGGCAATCCAACTCGATGGATAGAGATTAGAGACTCGAACAAAAAGTTAGGTGCTCCAAAGATAATGCCTGCCTTTTCAGTTTACCACAACGTTCGCGTTCACGAGACCTTTGAACGCGCTCACCTTTACATGCAATCTAACAAATTGGCAAGAAGAGCTACCAGATGATCACCCCTTGATCAAGGTGAGGCATCACCTCATTGTTTGCATAGAAATCGATTGTCTCGTGCTATCTATATTTAGTGCACCAAAATAGAAATATCTCCGTCATGGTGGTATAGCACATTTGTTTTTCAAAACTTTTCATGATATATTTTGAGTGGTGACGGTATCTAAACGTAGGCGATCTTCCGACTAGCCAACATTAAGGTAAACTATTAAGCATATATAACAATACATCGATCCTCAAAATTTTTCGACGTTGATCTTGAAATAGGTAATTTTGCATGAAATATAGGGAAAAATTACCAAAAAAGTCTTAAACCTGTTACATTTCTGCCAATTCAGTCCTAAACATTTCAATTGTATTATTTGAGTCCTAAACATTTTCTCATTTTGCCAATTGAGTTTATCCGGCTAATTTTAGCCGAAAATTACTAACGTGAACACTGACCGTCCTATGTGGTATGGTCGGCGCTGACACATATTTTAATAATTTTTTGAATTTTTATGGTTTTTTTTTGTTTTTTGGAGTGAGGGCCGACGACCCTCGTCGGTACTGGGCAAGGACTCGTGGCCCTCATTGTGGCCGCCGAGGGCTTGTCAGTGTATCGTGAAAAGTATAAGGAAATTTTAGTAATACGGTAGTCTATTTCAAGTTTCCGAACACACACCAACTAAACCCAAACCTGTACCAAACATTATGTAAATTGAATAAATTGCTTAACATATAGTAATAGTGACCTCATCTGAAGATGTATGGCGAGCATCGCGAACAGAATCGAATCAAAAGTACGTGTAAAGTATAAACCAGTCAAGACAATAGATACCACTCAGGATCAGACAAATCCGGACATGATTTATTCTATCCTGGAATCTCCGTGCTGTATTGACCTCAATGGTTGATCGAATAGTTAAGCGCTTGATTTGAACACAGCAATGCAGTATTCACATATTAGATCGCCCCCTCAAAATAACTTTGGGAATCGGGGCAATGTCAATGACTCTACAGGTAGAGCCTTTTTCGAAGCACAAGGCCTGAACAGTTTGTGTACATCCCAAGATAAGTCGAGTGTGCTATAAAAAAAATGAAAGAGCTGCATGAGAGGGAGAGAGGAAATATTATCTAACTTGACATCACTGTCGTCCTATCCTAGTAGGACCAAAACCGAGTCGAGCTGCTCGTGGCTAGCTCTAACTTGATTCGATGATTTAATCGAGATCGACTCGCCTGATTTGAAGTCGAGCTGAGTATGCCGAGCTCGAGCTCGTTAATGTCTAGCTTAAAACTCAGCTCGATAGGCTTGCGAGCCTAATTGAGCCGGAACGAAATTCTATTAATTTTTCATAAATGTTTAATAGTGTGACATCTCTGGATTAACTCACTCTAGGTATTGTCCGTTTTGGCCCGTCCCATACGAGCCTCGCGGTTTTGTCCATTGGCGTACAGGCAGGCACTTTCGCAGGAGGTCACGCATCCTAATAGTGCTCTGACCTGGGCTCGCTTAACTTTGGAGTTCCAAAACAAAACTAGTCGTTACTTTAAAAGACGCCTCCGTGAGTTAATTCCAGTTTTCACATATATATTCCAGAATCGCTCTCTCCCTGTTCATTGCACAGTTCGGTTCATTCCTGCCCCCTTCACCATCCTAGAAGTCTGCTAAGAGCCGCTCCTTGTCCAGACCCTCTGGTCCCGACGATCACTCCCCACCCTCGTTGGACCCAGTCGTTACAAATAGTAATAGAAATAGGCATAAATATCCTCGAAATATCACAATATCCACAATGTTCGAGTCTTCTTTAAATCAAGCTCGATTTACTTTATAAATTTATTGTAACCGAGTCGAGTTGAGCTTGAGCATAAGTTTTTATACTCAATCGAGCTCGAATGAGTCGAGTCGAGATCGAATTTTGTACCAGATTGACTTCTAGTTTTAGGCCCGAGAAGCATCGTTAGAAAGGTGGAAATGCCACACAGAGAAACAAGGGGAAAGGAACGAGTGTTGTTAGAGGAGGCTTGTTGTCAGTCACTGAACCGAATCTGAGAACGTTTGTTCACATGAATCTCCCTCTAACTCTCCGCCTGCATGTGAACGCGAAGAAGAGGCACGGGACAAGATCCAATTCTCTCACTATTCCCTCGTGATTCCACCACCCCAACCCCACACCAAAACTCAAGTCACCAACATTCACTCGACCCGCTCTCCCCGTGCGCTCTGTCTGTCGTTATGCTTTGTCTCGGAAAAAGATAATTGCACAAATGATCCCTAGACTTTGGTCAAATATGCAACATCATCCATAAACTTTCAATTTGTTCGACGTGAACCCTGAACTTTGGCTCAACGTTCAATGTCATCATCGAACTTTTAATTTGTTTAATATGGTCCTTAAACTTTTCGCAAATGTTCAATCCAGTTCCTAAATTATATGAAAATATCCAATGTGGTCCTTCCATTAAATTCAAGTTTATGGATGATATTGGACTTTTTTATATAGTTCAAGGACTACATTGAACGTGTACCAAAAAATTCAGGAACCATATTGAACGAATTATAAGTTCAAGGATGATATTACACATTGGGCTAAAAGGGAAAATGACATAAACAGTCCTTGAACTTTGACTCGATGTACAATTTGGTCATTGAACTTTTAATTTGTTCAATGTAGTCCCTGAACTTTAACCCAATGTTCAATGTGGTCCCTGAACCTTTGGCACATGTTCAATATAGTCCCTAAACTTTATAAAAATGTTCAATATAGTCATTCCATTAATTTAAGTTCAGGGACTATATTGTACATTTTCATATAGTTCGGGGACTAAATTGAACATGTACCAAAAGTTCAAGGATTACATTGAATAAATAAAAGTTCAGGGACCACATTGAATATTAGGCTAAAGTTCAAGGACTACATTGAACAAATTAAAAGTCTAAGTACCAAATTGCACATTGAGCCAAAGTTCAGAGACCAAATATGTCATTACCCGGGCTAAAATTCATAGACCACATTATACAAATTTATGGACCTTATTATATATTTAGTTAAAGTTTAAGGACTATTTGTGTCATTTTCCCTTTTGGAAGCTTGCTTTTCGTTTCTCTTCGTCAGTATCAATGGAAATGCCATGACCCTGATCAGCTGAACCGTCTCGTTCATCTTCTACTCTGCTCAAAAGGAGTCTCTCTCTCTCTCTCTCTCTCTCTCTCTCTCTCTCTCTCTCTCTGCTTATTCAGTCACCTTGCACCAGAGAAAGGAAAGAAAAATAGAAGATGAAGGATGCTTCTGCTGTCATCAGTTTCTTGGTTTTCTTCCTCCTCTTGTGCTCTCCTTGGATTGCTGCTTCACTCGGTTCTCTCTCTCTCTCTCTCTCTCTCTCTCTCTCTCTCTCTCTCTCTCTCTCTCTCTCTCTCTCTCTCTCTCTCTCTCTCTCTCTCTCTCTCTCTCTCTCTCTCTTATGTGGCTTGTTTTGTCTTTTGGGTTTGTCCTTGTAATGCCATTTGACCTTGAAAGGTCTCTCTTTTGGTGCAGATGACCCCCAATATGATCACACTGCTTACACCAAGGTAGATTATACATTGACAATCCCGTATGGATTAGTCATTTCAAGCAAGTTTAGCACATGGCATTCCGAAAGAATTCTACCTTATGAGTAATCTTCTGCAAAAGACGAAATGACATTGATGTCCTAAATTTACAGTTTCGTTTCTCACAAGACGTTTCGAGCAAGTTTCTCAACATTTTTTCTTTATATATCATGCATAATAATGTAAAATGGCAAGTGTAACTCTGTATTGGTTGTTGAATGGGCAGTGCAAGGAGGAGCCAGAAAAGCCACTCTACAATGGAGGCATCCTCGAGCCTCATCTGCTTCCACAATCTGCTTCTTCTTCTCCAGCTCTCCTGTTGCGCAATCTCACCACATCAACTAAATACTCCTTCTCTTGTTTGTTTCTGATTCTCTATCTTCTTCCATCTAATTAAATTTTTCCTTTTTTGCATTCTTTAAGGGTTAGTTAGGAGTTGGTTTGATGACTTAATTCTCTTCCTTTAGAAAATGAACTGGTCATTAAATGGGCGGTGGTACATTGGCACCTACACCAGCAGAAACTGTTTGATCGTTAGCATCAACATTAAATCCTCTACTCTTCAAATTCATCTCTACAGACGTTCATGCTAATATTCAATTTATTGACTACGCTACATTAGTATGTCATCATCGCATTCGTCGCATTTCGCGTATCGTGTTTTCTTTTTGGCGCGTCCAACTAGAACTCGATAATTTATTTGTAAAAATTCAAGTTACACAAGTGCAGTACTGGCATATGGCAAGGATGGAGTAAGTGCAACTCTAAGTCTTGCAAGAAACTTCGGTAGAGTTGATCAAGTGTGAACAGTGTGAGTCTGTTCACACAGGACTGCCACTATGAATTGTCATTGATTCGATTATTTGAATATGCCTTAGACAATTATTTTCCAATTCATGATGTGTGCGCAAACTTTTTATCCTTCCGATTGGATCTGTTGTTAGAATGTTCTCGGCTTTGGGCCACGTTAATGAAAAATTTCTCGCAGGTTGGGTGAAGATACAGAGTCCGGATTCAGATTCAGCTCTTGTCACGGCCAGTTTGAGGACAGAACATGAAGTATACAATTGCATAGGCACCGTCGCAGCGAAGTGTGGTTGCTGGTCGTTTCTCAAGGGCGGATTCACTTTGGATTCGCCATCAAACTCCTCTACACTGTCCTTTCAGGTGACCATTTACAAAGATGTGTTTTCCCAAGGGACAGCAATTCTGTTCTTATTGCATCACTTTTGTTTGTTCTTTTTTTGTTTTTTTCCGGTGGGGTTGATTTTAAGAGCTCAGATAGCAGAGATATCACCATAGCGATCGCTAGTGCTTCACTCCAACCATTCACTGATCAGCAATGGTGGAGGAATCAACAAGACGTGATAAACAAAGTGAGCACCGTACTTCTCCTCTTTGAAGCAACTTTTTTTATGTCATTAAGAATATATGGATGGTCTGATGATGGCGTGAGTTTCTGGTTTCCTAGCTTCTTTCCCTGTATTTTGTCGATCAGCAGAAGTATGAAACGCTATAAAACTCGTTGCTTACAACTCGGTCTCCCTCAAAATAAGTAATAAGGTGTTATATCACTAAAGATATGCCGCGGAACAGTGTTTTCCGTGTGAACTTGGTTCATTTAATTTTCATGACTAGTTTCTTCAAAGAGAGATATTCTGGAGAGTTTCAGGTAAGGAAGCGTGCCGTGATGATCCATGTATCGAATAATAACGGAGACAGGTTACAAGGAGTGGAAGTTAACCTGAAGCAAGTCTCCAAAGATTTCCCATTTGGATCTGCCATAGCCAAGACCATTCTTGGGAATGGGGCTTATCAGGTTAGATTCCTTTCATTTTAAGACATTAACTGAACTCCTGTGATGCGAATTGCGATCAAGTTTAATGAGAATCATTATAAGGGAGGCTATTCTAAGCAGTCAACGCATGTTTGTCGAGATTTTCTTTCTACAGAAATGGTTTGTCGAGCGATTCAATGCAGCAGTATTTGAGAATGAACTCAAATGGTACGCAACCGAGCCGCACCCCGGACAGATCAACTACACTATCGCAGATGAAATGCTGGAGTTCATCCGAGTGAACCGGATTGTCACCAGAGGCCACAACATCTTCTGGGAGGACCCAAAATACACACCGGAGTGGGTCCGGAATCTCGTAGGGGCCCAACTCGAGTCTGCTGTCAACACCAGGATCCAAAGCCTGATGAGCCAATACAGGGAAGAATTCGTACATTGGGATGTTAGCAACGAGATGCTCCACTTCGATTTCTATGAGCAACGGCTCGGGCCCAATGCGACGCTGCATTTCTTCCAAACGGCACATGAGTCGGATCCGTTGGCGACCCTGTTCATGAACGAGTTCAATGTGGTGGAGACCTGCAGCGATGCCAACTCCACTGTGGACAGCTACATCTCGACGTTGAGAGAGCTCAAGCGCGGTGGTGTTTCAATGGACGGAATTGGCTTGGAGGGTCACTTCACAGTGCCGAATCTGCCTCTGATGAGAGCTATCCTAGACAAATTGGGCGCACTCAAGCTTCCTATATGGCTCACCGAGATCGACATTAGCTGCACCCTCGGTAAGGAGGCACAGGTATGCAAGCATAGTTGGCCAACAAAATGTAGCTTTAAATGGCACAAAAACTGATAGTCGAAGACCACCTGTTTGTAGCTGAGCATTTAAATAGACTTTGTGGCCTCGCTCTTCATGTGCTGATTCGATGCTCACAGTGTCCAAAGACATAGGCAGTCACAATAGCATGTTTCTTTTTCTTGATTTCAATTGAAATTCTCGTAGCAGCTCTTGAACTGTCTTCGTATGATGCTCGGACTATTCCAGATTGATGAACAGGCAAATGAAACATAACCGAACACATAATCCTTGTTTAACAATAATGTGTCTAATGCACATATCTGCACATATTGAAGGGTGATTTCTTGCTTGAACATAACTGATTGTGTGGCTTGCAATTAAAGCAGGCTATTTATCTGGAAGAAGTATTAAGAGAAGGTTTTTCGCATCCTTCCTTGAACGGTATCATGCTTTGGACTGCCCTCCATCCTGACGGGTGCTACCAAATGTGCTTGACGGACACCAACTTCCAAAACCTTCCTGCTGGCGACGTGGTGGACAATCTTCTGGCGGAATGGAGGACCAAGGAGGTCATCGGGACGACCGACGAGCACGGGTCATACAGTTTTGAGGGATTCCTCGGCGAATACGAAGTAAGCGTCAAGCTTGAAGATCAAACTGCGAATTCAACATTTGCACTATCTCAAGGTGTTGAAACAAGGCATGTGACCATTCTTTTGTGACCCATAAAGAATCTGAAGGCATATGCATAGTTAAAGTCAGTTATCAAAGTCCCTAGAGTCGATACTGCAGTAGCCTACAAGGTACAGACTAGAATCAAAACCATTTTTTTCTCATTTTGGTTTTCTTTTGGCTTTGATCTGGATCTTCAAGCTTTTGAACCTGTCATTGTTCTTGATTCTCTCCCGCAATTTTCATGCTGATCTCTGAAGGATTGTATTAGCATTTAATTCCAATTGACAAGAGAACTAGTCATGCCTCTGCTTCTGAATTAGATCCTTTCTCACAATATGCAGAGAGGTGTTACAAATATCCCAAACTTCTCCGTTCGGCTTTATTGTTAGACACTTACACCATGCGTTCGCCGGCTAAAATTATGTAATGGACTTGTCATTGCCTTCTGCATTCTGATAAGGGATTTAACTCTTAACAATCAGCAAAATCGTTCGTAACTCTCACACTTCAAAAGACAACCTAGGCAAATTAAAAAGACCAAGGTACTCGTATAGATCACATTCCATGATTGGAAGCTATGGAAGGTTTTCCTGCAAGATGCAGAATGGTCGGTGCACGATTTTTGGTGATTTATTCTCTAAAGCCAGATCTGTTACCCTGTTTTGGACAAGATCTCTATAAATCTCATTCTAGCAAGTGATTATCAAAAGCTTGTGTCTTTATGCTGATGAGGTCGACAAAGTGCTTCGGTCAACCAACTCCCCACCTCCTGCAACATTCCCATGTCCTTGCAAATCTCAATCCAGCAGATTTGCCGCGTGAGACGACGATAAGCCCATGTAAAAGGACTCGATCGTCGCAAATTCGACCGTCGGTTTCCACGAGCCAGGTGAAAGAACTCGAATCAATCCCGACACCAAAAAGCCAGTCAAGTTCATTTTGGAGAACAAACCCACACAAAGAAAAGGTCACTAAGCCTGTCACATTAACCCTTCAAATGAGAATGAACATGGACCAGCCAAAATTTTCTTCTGCCCTCTCTTCATTTGTCAAATTGACATGAGTTCTTTCTTTTCTTGTATGCATTAAATATATTGATATTAAATAACTGGAAGCCAGCTTCATTTCGGTGGAAAAGTGCTTTTTTCCCCCATCGTCTAAGTTGGGCGGGTCCCATCATGGACTCAAGAAACCACTTTTTTGCGACATTTTCGACCAAAAGAATCAGACATCACTGCGACCATAGAATAAAATCATCGGCCATGGCAAAGAACAATGCTTTAAACTTTGTAATGCCATGTTTTGAAACAGAACGTGATCTGCATTCTTGGCTAGGTCCCAGAAAAAGACAAGCGTTCTTCTTTTTTCAACATCACACCAAAATTTATACATGAACGACAATGAAAATACCCAACTTCTAAAAGAAAGTATTCCATCTTATACAGCAGGCAGCATACAGCAGACAGGCCGAAATAAAAAGCAAAGCTGAAGACTTGCAATCAAAGCTATTCCTCCGAATGCATGAAAACGTTTATCGGCCCACAATCCTCTGCTATGCATTCACATTGAGACAGAGAGACGCTTCGATCACAAGACAAAAAAGCTCTCAGCTCGAAACCTTTCTTCACGGACTAATCCATACTACATGATAGACTGACAAGAGTCGTGACCCACGAGATTACAAGAGCATCCAAAAAGAAAGAAAGAAGCCAACAATGATTTCATTCTCTTTCATGACTGGACCATGATACATTAGCGAAACATATCCCAAAATAGCCACAAAATGAGAACTTTCTTCACACCCAGCCGAAACGTTACGAGGCAAATGTCATGCGGGGGGTGGTGGTTTTACAATGTGGATGCGGATAGGACTCCTATGACATTACCTCACAAAACCCAGAAGATAGAAGAAAATCAAATAGAGCAAAACCAGAGAGAGAGAGAGAGCTACAAGTGAAAAGAGGAGATCATGAGGAAGAGAAAGCAAAGGCAAATTGCTGCAGAAGATTGCAGAGCACATGGAGAGGCAGTCCTCGAAGAATCTCCCATGGCCAACCCGGCCATCCACGACCCATCGGCCAGAACAGCTTGCCCCGACCCCGACATCGACCCAGTCCCCGAGTACCCTGTCCCTGTCCCGGTCCCAGTCCCGGACCCGAACTCAGACCCGGACTCCTGCGCTGGAGTAGTGGTGGTTGTTGCTGTCATTGGTGTTGAATCTCTAGCCGTTTTCTGGCTGCACATCAGAAAAAATATAACAAAGAAAAAATCTTATTAAGCCAAATGAATCATGAAACACACATCATCACTAGATTTAAATTAGTGAGTCAGATTCTTTGGTGGTGGGGGAAGCTTAACTGCACCTGAGTGAATTGCGGACTCACACCTAAAGGCGGAATAAACAAATGATTGCAGAAAATTTTAATGAGCACAGAATGTAAATTTCTTTTAGAAAAATATGAAAAAGAGAATCTTTGGCCTTGGTCCTCGCCAGTTTCCCACGGGACCACCACAATGCACACGGTTCCACACCTCTATCCTTTTGGCGCATTGATTAACATCAATCGCTACAATAATCACCACTCACATAATTTCTGTCAAACGGGTCTGCAGGTTCCCTCATTTTGCTCCATTGCTTCATAAATTCAAGCAAACATAGGATAACTCCTAATGCACTAATGAAATTAGACAGTAAAAACAGGTTTACCCGACACTAATGGAAACAAAACAGATTAACTGAGAAAAATTTGAGGATAGAGAAAAATGTCACCCGACCTTGTGGAAGAGGGACAAAAGGTCACCGTGTAGTCGGCTCCGGTGCAGGTGAAGGTGCTGGTGGCGTCGTCGTAGGCGTAGCTGTATGACCGGGGGCAGGCGGACTTGAACATCTCCGAGTAGACGGTGGGGCGGCAGGTGACGGGGGAGTTGTACGCGCCGCTGCAGCAGTACTCGGGGGACCCGAACGCCTCGCACGCGCTCTTGCAGGCGTCGCCCTCCCCGACCCTCAGCTCCGCCGGGCACTGCCGGTTCAGATCCGCCGAGCAGCCCGTGGAGGCGCACGCCCCCGAGCCACCGCTCCCTTCTATCAACATCGGCAAGTTGTACCTGGAAGAAGACAAAAAGAAAAGGAAAGATCTCATCTTTTGCACGTTAATACGACCCATGTGAAGAAACAGTACGAGGGTCACTATCAAAGTAAGGAAAATAAGTAATATTTCGAGGGTTTTGATTTTTGGGGGGGAGTTTACCCGTCGACGAGGCTGACGTCGTAGAAGTCCTGGCCGCCGGAGCCGAGGGTGAACTCGGCGAGGGTGGCCGGAGGGGCGGCGCCGAGGCCGTTGCACTCGAGCTGGCCGGAGCCGCAGTCTCCGGTGAGGCAGGTCCCGGAGAGGGAGCCGTCAAAGCTGCAGCCGGTGCGGCCCCAGAAGCGGCCGGACCAGCCCGTCGGGGCCTGGAAGGTGCGGGAGGTGTCGGACGGGAGCTCGAACCCGGTGCTGTCCAGGCTCGGGCTACCGGCATTGGCCAGGATGCCCGGCCACACCGTGTACTCGCACTTGTTCACGAACGTGAACGTGGCACCGGACACACCTGAACAACAACAGCCACAACCAACATCCCAAAAACCAAAAACACTTCAGTTAAAACAAGAAAAGACAAAGCTTTTGTTCTCGGGAAGTTCTGTGGGTAGACAAGAGGTGGAATGTGAGAGGAACCCAGAGACAATGCCGTCAGTGTTACCTTTGGAGACGATGAGAAGACAGAGGGCGAGAGCGTAAGCAGGGGAGGACCCCAAGCGACGACGGAGAGGAAGCAGCCCAAGATCCATGTGAGGAAGTGAGGTTCTTGCTAGCTTTGCCCTTCTCAGCAGCAGAGGCTTATGAGGCCGAGCTAAGCAGGGGCTCGAGTGGGTTGCTCTGCAGCGAAATGCGGGATGTTCAGAAGGTGAAAATGTGGAGCAGAGAGAAACAGAGAGAGAGAGAGAGAGAGGAATGGGCAGTGTGGGAGCCTGGGAGGGGGCTCACATTCGCAGTGAATGGGCGAGAGACAAGACCAGACCTGGCGGGGACGGAAAGCGAAGACGAAACGGCGTTGGATCGAAATGTGAAGGCGGCGAGGTTGTCCGTCTGGACGAGCGAGCACAGCGCAGGGAACGAGGGAGGTGTGGTACCGGCTGAACAGGAGCTGCGCTGCTCGCTCGTCGAGAGGTGTGTACCCGAGTGAGTGGGAGTGTCCTTCTTTTTGGGGGGCTTTCATTTGGGCCCCTCTATTTGTCCTTAATTGCACTTGGCTCTTTATAAAAAAAGACTTTAATATCACGAAAAAATTCAAATCGGTACATTAAAGATAGATTTATCTCGAATTAATTTTTTAATCATAAAAACCTCCAAACTGATACACCTGTGATAAATTTACTCTAAACTAATTTATTGACCACCAAAAATCCCAAACTGGTACACTTGTGAATTTAATTAATACTGGGAAAAATCACAAATTTGTAAAATTGTGATAAACAGAGGGGTAAAACCCAAAACTGATACACCCGTCAACTGTTACGTGTCATGTAACTTAGCAATTTGATGGTAAAATTTAACGGAAACTAACGAATGGTAAATTGTCACAAGTGTACCAGTTTGGGTTTTTTCGTGGTATTAACCCTACAAAGAAAATTCATCTTAAATTGAAGCTGTACTTGCTTAAATTTGACTATTATAAGGAAAATGACATAAACAGTCCCTAAACTTTGGGCCAATGTGCAATGTGGTCCCTGAACTTTTAATTTGTTCAATATAGTCCCTAAACTTTAACCCAAATTAAAGTTTAAAGATTACATTGCACATTGGCTCAAAGTATATGGATTATTTATGTCATTATCCCAAACTAAAATAAAGAAAAAAGCATTTTCACTACCATAGATCAACTCTATTCATATGAAGCTTTCTTTGGAAGTGATCACCAAGAATTTTGGTACGACACTTGATATGCCGAATTCGGATGGTCAATTGGAAGCTTTCTTTGGAAGTGATCACCAAAAATATTAAAATAGCAACCGACTACTTTGACTTGTGTCACGCCTCGTTAGGGCACCAAGTCAATGCTACAGTAATGCCAACTCGAGCCAGGCCATATTTTAGCTAGGCACAGTTCGACCTGGTCGAGCATGTGGCTTCACAATCACAAGGATAAGTCAAGCAAAGCCCAACGTTATGCCACCTATAGGCTACAAGACATTCTTGGGTACACTAGCTACAGATGATCTCATAGCATTCAAATCCTTAGATCACGTGGATCTCACGTGGAATCCACTAATATCGGGGTTTTTGATAAATTAAGCTCGTACGCATTCGAGATCACCAAAAAATATTTCGTGGGGCTACATAGCACTTTGGCATTATAATGTGGCCCATTTCCGGTCAATCCAAGCACCCAGACTTTCAAAAAAATAGAAACACCCAAACTCCCTTTTGGCAGCATCTGTTGTGTTATTATTATTGATTTTTTTCTTTGGTTCTTTTGCATAATTTTCCAACCCTTTTGAAATTTTCTCTCATTATAATTTTACAAGGGATTCATATCACAAAAAATCTTAAACTATGCTCACTGTGACATAAAGGGTTTTTCGTGGTATTAACCATTTATGTTTATATAATTATATAAAAAAATTTTATACACATGTGAGTTGTGTTAAAAGAGAACTTGCAAAGTATTCCTAATTGACACATAATTCGTGAAATTAAACTTTTGAGTAAATATGGATGCAATCAGACATATTGATTGATTTGGACTCGAGGTCCTTTTTGGCGATGGAAGGTTTCGAGCTTTTATAGTTGTCATTATGCAATATTTCATTATTTCTCTAAGCAAACCAAATGTACGAACCGTCGGATTGTGGAGTGAGGCCCCGCTAAGGTCATGTTGTCGAACATACTTTGAAACATCATAAGCATTTGGGACGAAAGCTACTTTAGACTTTTATAAACAAATATAATATTATAATATATGGTCAGAAGGAGGCAATACCTAAGTCTGAATAAGCCAAATAGAAACATGACTCTAATGTTTCTAAAAATTATATTCATGCATCATAAATCTCCACATGATCAAGCGGCACAGGTATACTATTTAGGATAATGCAAACATGTTGGTATACCATCATGCATACAAGCATCCATGTTTTCAAAAACACAGACGAGGCACGTGGCATGTGGAGTGACGCTATGCATACCTACATATGGATGAAGTGACGTGATCTTCGTTTATTTTATGAAAAATGAATAATTTAAAAAATATATTTTTTGTAAAATATAGTTTATATTGTTTGAAATAGTTAGTCGATGGAATATATTTTCATTATCGATAACAATTTATGTTTAAATATTTTCGTGAAACGATAAATATCGTTGTTCCTTATTCATTTTCGTAAGAAATATGAGTGACTATTTTTAGAAAATAATTTTAATAATATATATTTTTTGCGAAACGAAGACATTGGCGATAGCAAAATATTCCGTAAAGAATTTGCTTTCATATTTTAGAAGTTATTTCATTATTGCATGGGTTAATAGCATGAAAAATCCCAAATTAGTGCACCTGTGATAATTTTACTCTGAACTAATCTTTTTATCACCAAAAAATCAAAACTAGTACACATGTGACAAATTTACCCGCCGTCATAATGGATTAATACCACGAAAAATCATAAATTGACATATTTGTGACAAACATAGGGGTAAAACCCTAAATTGGTATACCCGTCAATAGCCACATATTATCAAACTCAGTAATTTGAAGGTAAAATTTAATAGAAATTAACGATAGATAAATTTGCCATAGGCGTACCAATTTATGATTTTTTATGATTAAAAAATTAATTTTATATAAATTTACCATAGATAGATTAGTTTAAAAATTTTCGTGGTATTAATATTTTTTTTTTTAACAAACCATATTTTGCCCCCTCTTTCGTTTCGCATCAGAGGGGGGGGGGGGACAGGTTCGCAGATTGCACGAGGAAACGTCAAAAAAGAGACGAGACTTTCCAGAACTGCGGGGGCCCCACCACTCTTCTTTTCAGGCGACGCGACCCCCCGACATCCGGACGTCCCTTCAGCTGCGCCCCCCGCCCCACTCTCTCTCTCTCTCTCTCTAGTCATTAAGAGGAGAGAATGGAATAATAATTTTCGCTGCAGGTCCCTATATTTCTTGGAAATTCTAAAATCGTACCTCCTTAATTTTGACCCCAAAATCATCATCGTCCCTTTACTTTACTTTTTAACCAAAATTTCACGCGACGGATTTTACCGACACAAACTTAACGGCATTGAATAAATTTACTCCCGTGAACTTCTTTTTATCTGACGTGGGCTCCATCCCACGCGACCATTATGACGGGAGAATGTTTCAAAACAAGGATTGAAGTCTCCTCATTTTTTTTGAATAAGGACATAAATTAAATTTTGTCTCAAATAAAAATCTGTAATATCTAAAATCATCTCGAATAAAGGCTTGAAGTGGCCAAATCATCTCAAATAAGGAAAGTGGCCGGCCAGTGTCTATTCCGGTCATTGGAGAAAGGGTATATTAGTCAAAAAAAATTTAAGTATATTTTTTAATTTTTTAATTTTTTTTTTACTTTCTTTTCCCTTTTTCCTTTTTCTCTTTTTCCCTCTTCCCTTCCCCAACCATCGCTGGCGACCTCCGTCAGCCTCATGCAAGGGTTGCCCTCACCTAGGCGGGCGAGGGCAACCCTCGTCGGCATTGGGCGAGGGCCGCCCTTGCCTAGGCTGGCGAGGGCGTTCCTCGCTAGTTCGTCAATTCGGGCAAGAGCCGCCCTTGCCCGACGCCGACGAGTGCAGCCCTTGCCTAAGTCCGGTGACCACCGCATGGCCGGCGGCGGAAAGGGGGAAAAGAAAAAAAAGAAAAGAAAAAGAAAAGGAAAAGAAAAAAACAGAAAAAGGAAAAAAGAAAAAAAAGTAAAGAATGAAAATGACCTTCAGCTAGCAAGGCCAGATCGTTTTTTGAGACTAATATGACTACTTCAGGCATTTATTTGAGAAAATAAAGGCACTTCAGGCCCTTATTGCCCTTATTTGAGACAATATCTGCTTCAGATCATTATTTGAGAAAACGATGACACATCATACCTTTATTTGAAATTTTCTCTTATGATAGCTCAAGCTTTGAGCTGGCAGCCATGGCTGCTTGAGGTTCGAGTTTGCGACCATGGTCATGCCATCTCTTCTAACTCATCGTCATGGCCGCTCAAGCTACAAACTTTACAGTTGATGGCTACTTTATCTCTTCTCACTCATGGCCACAGCTTGAACTTTGAGCTTGTAGTTATGGTTCCAAGATCTTCGCGCTAGCTCCCGTGACCGATCGAGCTTCAAGTTTGTGGCCATCGATGCTCAAACTCGAGACAGCATAGTCGTTTAGCAGCAAGCCACATCATTAGTGTCGGCGGTGTTAGGCTTTTCTTTTACTTTTTTTCTTTTTTTAATTTTCTGTTTCGTCTATTATTTTATGCACTTTATTTTATTTATTTAATTTTGAAATTTTTTCTACTCAATGAATCTACATAAGCTTATTGGTCACCAACTTAGCTTGCCCATTGTCCATGTCAGAAACAATCATTAGAAATATAGGATGAAAATTGGAGCTTTTTAAAAGGCACAACGGCCATTTTGGTTCAAAGAAAAGTAAAGGGATGATTTTGCTTTCCAAGAAAAAGTAGAGTAACTATTGATGTCATTATGCTCATAACAACTAATAAATCGAGATCCATGTTTAGAATCGTGATCTTCAATTTGTGAATTGAGAATCGAATTAAATTATAATATTTAATAAAATACTTAAAATGAGAATTTTATGTTATAGATATAAATGTCACTTCGATTTTTTGATGACTAATAAAATATTGGAATGACAAAAGTTATGTCATTTGATATCTATAAGCATACGTAAAAAGAATTGAATCTCCTGAATCGAAAAACATATATTGAATCATGAATTTGCATGGCTTTCAAAGAAGGAATCAATTCTCATCAGGAAAATAATTTTTTGCCTAATTTTTCAAGTGTCACAAAAATGAACATATACTTTTTACCCAAGGGCCAATTTTGGCCACCAAATTTTTCTGGCAAAATGTGATTAGGTTGCACCTGAGATGGCAAACGGATGCTGACATGGCA